CCGGCTTTCAAAGGACAATACTGCCGCAGCTCTGTTGAGGAGCCTTGTTAATAACGGCGAAAGCTACCAGATGTATTCAATTTCCCTGCCCTTTATTTATTGTCACAGTGGTAATTCGCTTCACAGCGAAATAAATGAGGATAGGAGCAGCTTGAGAACATCAGAACACTTGTTTATTTTATCTAAATCACGCAATCTGCAAGAGGGAAAAAAAATAGTTTTCAGATACCAAACTGCTGATGTTAAGACTTTGTGGTCTTTTTCAGTGAGCGTGAGCTTGCAAAGCAGCAGTAAAATGTACTTCTGGGCTAAGTGGCAATGCATTCAAAAGGCCAGAAAGTGTTGAAACAGTCCATTAATTTTAAATGCTACGCCTGGAGTCATATTAGCTTCCTGCTAGGAGGCTGCAGACCAGTTTCACGTAGGATGAGTTGGGTTTGACGACACGTTTTGTTTACAAGACGGATATAAATCCAGAATCTTTGCTAAAATTAAAAAAAAAAGCCAAAACATCTTTAAACCACTCTGTGTTCTCCAGTTACTTTTACTCAGAAGCAAAACATGCTGCAGCGTTGGACGTTTTTAAAGGACAGCTAAATTAAGGTCTCCCATGCATTTTGTTTCTGAATACATTGCAATTTTTACAGCAGCTGCATTTAGTTTCGCATGGGTTGTCACATCCAATTACTGTATTCAACAAGCATCCATGCTTGTAGGCCTGCTTTTGGCTATTGTGTTTGATCAGGTGTGCTTTGGACTTGCTGTAGAAATCTACTAATTGTGTCTTTGACCTTGAACAGGCTGCAGGGACAGGAAATACCTCCAATTAATTCCCTTTTCCCCTCTTCAGTGTCTTACATTTGAGCAGGCATCGGAGTTTCTAAAGCGATAAGGCATTTTACAATTCTGTTTAGTCATTGAACAACTGAAAATCTTTATTTTTGTAAAAAAAAAAAAAAGAAAGAAAGAAAGTACTTTGAAGTAAAATTACTTTTTGATGGTTATTCTCTTACTGCGACTTAAGTTATTTCTGAGACTGAACGTCTTCCATAAGTTAACACTCATATTTTTTGCCAGCCTTTGAGTATTTAAAAAAAAAGATCAGAAATCTTTCTTTAAACTCTAAGTTAAAATACTTAACTTACCTTTAGTACCTGAAACCCCAGACCCGTGGGATGGTGTTTCTGACAGCACTGCCCTTTCATATCTTGGCTGCTACAACCATCTCCAGGTACTCCACTTTTCTCCTGCAGTCCAAAATCTTGCATGTTGGATTCATTGGAGATGCTAAATTAGGGCTTAGTTGCACGGCTGTTTGAATATTGTCTGTTTTTCCGAGTGTCTCTGTTATAGTAATAATCATAAAACCTTTATATTTAGTCAAGAAAGTCCCATTGAGGTACATCTGTTCTTCCGTGACGTTGTGGTCAAAATGACGGCAAAACCAGATTTTCACACAGTTAAACGTGATCAGAAAAAGTCAACTGTAGGAGTTGGTATATAAGTAAAAGACAGATGTTAGACCTGTGATGGACCAACCAGGATCAACCCCAGCCAACCGTAACCCTAAACCAGTCTGAGCACTTTTAGGCGCTGACTGACTTGACCTTTTTTTTTTTGTTGTTGTTGTTTTTATTTCATTTTATTGTTTGAGCCGCTAGTGGCTTTTATTGAGTAGTATTCAGACAAGAAAGGGAGTGAAGAGAGAATGGGGGAATGCATGGAGCAAATGGCCCGGGTCCAGTCGTCAAACCCGGGACTGTAGCCACAGTTTATGGAGCGTCTGCTCTACCTGCTTCACCTGCAGCGCTCCAACATTATTATTTTTTTTTTTACCCCCATTGAAAACATTTCTTTCTCCATGCAGACTGTAGAGTTCCCCATAAAAACACTGAAATTTGAATACCCACCCAGGAGTTGCAGTAATGTTCACATTGGAGAGACATAAAAACACAAAGGAAGAACATTCTGAGCACGACTAAAGATTTTTATGGAACCACAGCTCGTCTTTTCATTCTGATTTACAGTACAAAATAAGTGAAATACTCAGCACAGTCGTCATTGAATTATTTTCATATTTTTAACCGATTCAATTGGCCACTGACAAAGTTGTGAGATCTTGTTTCACAGTTTTTAAAGCAATTTCTTGCTTTAGGTCTGGACGTAAAAGATGCCTTGAGCAAAGCACGATAGAGATAGTTTTGCTATTGCTGTTTTTGTGTGTGTTTTAAGTTGGCCTCTGTGTTCCTATAAATGATTCAGTTTGGGTTTGGTCTTACTATTTTGAACTAGAGAAGATTAAATACAGTCCACAATTTTTCTTCAAAACTGAAAAATTACTTTTACAATATAGCATGAAATCTGAAACTGTTAGTTGATGTGATTGGTAGTATTTTTTCAAATTTTCCAATTCCAATTTTGTTTGGGGAAAAAAAGATTACATCAGTCCCACCAAAATCTTCTTGGTGAGAGAAGATTTATTTTATTTTTGTTAAAAAAAACAACAAAAAAAAACAAAAGAATGGTACTTACCCTTGTTGGTAAGTCGCATCACCCATATTCTCTGGTTTTTCTATGTGGGTGAAAGAAGCAAGTGTATCAGAGAAATGGATTAGGTAAATATCTGTCTTTGGATGAATAGAAGTAAAAAAATAAAAACTAAAAACTGACTTTTTAATGACCCCAGAGCAGAACTCTCAGAGATGACCGAATTATAAGTTCTGTGAATTACAAGACACTTCTTACGTCTCTGGTTCAGGATATGCACAGTGGCTTTGATGTGTTGACCTCATGCTGAAGCGATTTTGCTTACCAACGCTCTCTTTGTTTCTGGTTGACCTCTTCATACTACACTTTTCCCTCCACTCAACTTTCTACGAATGTGTTTGACTGCATCAATCTGAACAGTTTTCTGCAATGACTTGGTACGAGCTTCTTGACCTTTTGTAGCTTTCCACCCTTGTAAAGGCTTGAACTTTTCCGCTTTGGGTAATTAATCTATATAACACGAGTTTTACCTTCTGAAATGTCTGAAACACTATTTCAGTTTCACACCAGTTCAGGCAAGGACGCACTGACAAGAGTCGGGAAAGTTTTGCAGTTCAGTATGAAGTCACTTGTTTGCAATGCGGTCTTATTTCTGAGAAGATTTATCCACAGAAGTGGTTTTCCATGCCAGACAACCAAAGGCGGTGTTGGATGACGGCCACATTTGTCGTTTTGCTGCATGCAGTACATGGCATCTCAAAGCGGGTTTCAAACTGATGACGCCTCATGAAAATTTAATGAAGGAGCGATTTTCAAAAACAAACAGCGCCGCTTACGAAAGCAAGGGAAGATATTAATTAGCCGCATCGCAGCGGGAAAAGGAAGACTTAAAGGTGTGCATTAGCCTCGTTGGCAGTCAGAATAAGCAGGTCTTGTTTGGGAGTTTAAGACTTGGCTGTCGCTGCAGAGAGGCAGGCATTTTGCAAATTGGGATATTATGGCGCATAGAATATTTAAACGTGCAGCGTTTCAGAGATAGCCGCTTGCTACAAGCCGAACGCAGTTCGTCAAAAAGAATGGCAAGCTGCTGCAGGCTTTGTTTTGATAAAAAAAAAAAAAAAAAAACATGTTTGGAGCAAATGGGGCCCTGTGAGTTTATCATCTTTCACATCTCAACCCGCAGCGAGACGGTCCCCTGGCCCTGTTCAGGCTGAAAATTGAGACACGGACAGGAACAAGACAGCTTAGACAACACAGCGCAGCCACCTGCCATCATCAAAGAGCATCAAAGCTGCACCTCACCTGAATGGATTTGTAGTCGGGGGTGTGTCAGGGTCCCTTCTTCTTTCAGCATGCCGCCACTACAAAAAGAGGTTGACATTTCGGAAATCATATTTACCTGCATTTTGCCCACACTTAGCTGATAGGTTTATTAACACCCTGGCTGCTTGAGTCGAATAACATCCAGGAAGATTAACTTTTTTTTTTTTTGCTGCTTTTACTGCGTGTAAATAACTAATGTGTTAAAATTTTAAATGGCCACAGACGCGCCGTCCCACAAATAAGGCAGATTTAATTCACGAGCCCTTATATCTGCAGTTCAGCCTGCATAAAAAGGCTTTTTACTAGCGGCTGTTGCCCATCATAAGCTTGGTAGTCTGGTAGTCTGAAGTCATCCCTTCCGACTACAGTACTATCAGTCCATGGAGACGCCAGAAGCAATGCAAAATTTATCAGTTACTTTATTTAGGCCTGTGCATGTCTGTAAAAAGCTTGTTTAAACAGTATTCCCAGATATGGCTTGCATGAATAAATACCAGCAGCCTATACTGTGTGATTTGGTTGTCTGTTCGACATGCTAGTTTTATGCCGGAAGTTTGTTTTTTTACGCATTAATATATTGGGTCAGTTATCGGTATCAAGGTGTACCAAGTTCTTTTTAATAAGAATTTTCTCCGGATGTTCAGAGCACAGAGTAATCAGCCACATCTGTTGCTTGTCACTGCTGGTAAGCTGGCTGAAAGAAGCACGCGCGCTTCTCTCGACCCTGGCTTTGATGAGTCGTCTCCCTGCTGCTCCTGTGTGCGTGTGTGCGTGTGTGTGTGTGTGTGTGTGTGTGTGTGTGTGTGTGTGTGCTCCGTCTCCCATGAAGCAGAGGGTATTTTAATGTTTCAGTAGGGAACTAATTAAAAATTCAAGAACAGGTCCAGAGCTTTAAAGCTCATTTCTAGAGCATCTCGCTGTCGGATCGGTTCCTCTACGTACTGCGTAACCCTTTTTTTAAAACACGGCTAATTAAATCGTTTTATTCGTCTGTCACAATTTTATAAGGAAAATGACACACAGAGAATTAGCAGCATAAAAAAACCCCTTTGTTCTCAATTCACTAATTTTCTGTTACTCTACAGTCTGGCCTCATTTCTACTCCCCCGCCACCCGGTCATGGGTTCATTAAGACCACCGCCTCGCTGTCTCTGACATCTTGCCCAAAATGTCTCCAACCTGTTTTGCAGAGGACCAGCTGCCCCCTGGCTTCCCCACCATAGACATGGGCCCACAGTTAAAGGTGGTGGAGCGAACGCGCACCGCCACCATGCTCTGTGCCGCCAGCGGCAACCCCGACCCAGACATCACCTGGTTCAAAGACTTCCTCCCTGTCAACACCACCAACAACAACGGACGCATTAAGCAGCTCAGATCAGGTAGGTTTCCTCTGCTGAAAACTCAATTACCAAACAGGGAGACTCCTTTCTTTCTTTTTTTTTTCACTTTCTATCTGATCTGCTCCCACATTATATCCTCTGCTCTTTCATCCCCTCTTCTTCCTGCCCATGATTTAACTTCTCATTTGGCTTTTCGTTTTATAGGTAATGGCATTGTTTCGACTATTTCCTGTCCTCTACTTGCTGTACATCCCTGTTTGTCTGTCTTATGTGCGTCTCCCTTTGTCTTCCAGTGTTGTCATGAGCTGTTGGGATTGTTTCCTTTCTGTGTTTGCTGGCTTTCGCCCTAACCTCTGCCCACATTGCTCACTGCTGTGACTTTCTGAACAAACAATTGTTCTTAATTTTTTTCTTTTTTTTCTGCCCTTTCATCTTGGTTTTACTCTCCACTGCATTGGTGCAGTATTTCTTAGAACCATTATGCCCATTACTTACACCTTTCAGTCAACATTCGGCCACATTCAGAGCCCACAAATTAATGCACATGCTTTTAGAGTAGGAGAACACGCAGAGAAGCAATTTAATTATCCTAACATATTTGTCCTGCAGTCGATGTTTTGCTTTAAGAGCATTTCAGATTCAATGAGAAGAAGTTTATTTCTTGAAACTAATCAGCCACAGTAGTGCGTAAAACTTCATAAAGCTTTCCCTTTATCCCTTCATTCTGACTTTATACAGTGCCATGCAAAAGGGAAAAAAAAATCAAAAATGTTCAATGTCACATTTTTTTCCACCTTAAAACCACAAACTTGTCCATTTAGATTGTATTTTATTTGATAGACCAACATAAAGTAACAAACTTGAACACACTACTCCCACAAAACATAGTCTAGCATGGAAGGATCGTGCTCTGGAGATACTTTTATTCACCAATGATAAATAAACTTGCCATGGAGGAAGAGAGGAAGATGAGTGTATGTATAGTGCACTTATTCGCAATTCAGTATTTGTAGATATATATATTTTTTTTGTGGAACGTGACTCCACATTTGTGGAAAATCCACTTATTCACAGTTTTTTTATTTTTTTATTTTTTACATAGCATATCTAAACTATTCCAAAAAATGCAGAGCATGCATGGATTTGCAGAGCAGCCAATCCAGGAGAAACATTTAATTTTCTTTGGTGGTGATGTTGTGCACCTAAACGTAAAGATAAGGAAGACTGTAGATGTAGACTTCTTCATTGGAGCTGCATCTGTTTTCCCTGTGGGCATGTAAAGGTACATTTGATGCTTGAACAATTGAAATTGGTATTTATAAAGGTTTATGTTGGGGTTTCAAGTATTGACATATGATTGTGGTTTCTAACCTTGTAAATACCAGGGTTTAACTGTCAATAATAGATAAGGCAGAAGACTTCACCTTTAGCCCGTTTAATAAGATAATCACTCTAAATGTACAGCCAGAGCTACAATAAAGTGGTTTAGAGGAAATGATATTCATTTCTTTGAATGGCCTAATCAAAGTCCTGACCAAGCCCTGTTGTAAATCTCTGGCGAGATTTGAAAGTTGTCCTTTAAATGCCCACCAGTCAGTCTATCTGGATAAGCTTTTTTTTTTTTTTTTTTATTTTTTTATAAAAGACATTGTAAAACGTTCAGAAGAATATTCCAGACTATTTGTAGGCGTAAAGAAGCGCATCTTTTTGGATTTTATTAGTGAAAATGAAAAATGCCATTTCAGTTTCAGCACTACTTTCTCTTGGTCTATCACTTTAAATGCCGGTTGCAGTTACTGGTTGTAACGAGACAAAATGTGAGAAAGCCGAAGTGGAGCGAATACCTTTGCAAGGCACTGTAGTCCCTGCTTTAATGTGTAAATGCCAGTTTTGTTTTCATTTAATATATCAATAGAAAACAACTATTCTAACTTTTAACCAGTTCTGTCCAGCTGATAACCCAATAGCATAACTTCTTAAATTGGACGTCTTGTCTGTTTGACCACCTGTCTTCACAGATTTCACAGCTTTCCTTTTGTTAACTCATCGTGTTAACCTGACTTGTTTTTTTTGTTGTTTATTTTTGTTTCAGTAGAACTGTGTCAGATTAACCTTAACTTCTAACTTGCGACTTTTATTCACGTGCAGTTTGCTAAAGCATTAACCAAACCTTGTTAACTAAACGTACTTAAGGAGTATAATCATAATTCTTATGCTGTCTTTCTTCTCTCTATATTTTTAAATTCTACAGAATCCTTTGGTAAGTGCTTAGCTCCAAAGCACACATCACCCCCACTAATTTCCATGTTCCAACAACTATTAAAATGCATGGCATGCATTTTACTAACAGATAGCTTAGAGTGTCAGGGCTAGAAAACACACACAAACACACACGCACACACACACACTCTCCCCTTACCCTCACAATGTGTAACTGTCTTACTGCTATTAATACCACTGCCAGCTGTAATACCACCTTATCTTGAGAATTTTAACCATCAAGCTTCAGGCTACTGTGTTGTGAGAGAGTATTTGCCCCTTACAAATCTCTTCTGTTCTTGATTTTTTTTATTTATTTATTTTCTTTTGGTCGCTTTTAAATGTTTCAGATCTTCACACAAAGTGTAATATCAGACAAATATCAGCTTTATCTGGGGCTGGGTCGGGGGGAAAACAGCCCACTTGGGCCCCTCCGAGAGAACCTCTGATCTTTAAATAAGTGCCCTTCAGCTGCTTGTATCCACGATCTCATTCTTTTGGCATCATGACTGTAGATGAGGGTGGGAACCAGGCATGGAGGGTTCAAGACTGATCTCTCCTGCTTTTTTCCCCTTGTCTTTGGCTCTGTCTTGGTCTCTGAAGACACAGCCTTGACTCCATGGCCGATATGATGACAAGTCTTTATTACTCTCTATGCAACTACTGTGCAATGGAGCTGATGAATTCAGTTTAGAGAATGCGTATCAATGCGTGGCTGCATTTAATAACTTAAATATTAGTTAATTATGGCAATTATTTGCTTAATACCAACAAGAAATGTTGGCTGAGAAACTAACCATTTCCCCATTAATTCTTGCGTTTTGTGGTGCCTTCCTCCCCAAAGAAAAAGTGTCCTAAAATACTATTTGAACTCTAAATATTCAGTCTCGTTTTTGGAGAGTTCGGTCTCAGTCTAATAAGAACTGGTCTTGACTCCATTCCTAGTAGGAATATAAATCAACCAGATAAATCAAGAACTTTTCCTTTCGATTTTGCTTTTTCTTGACTACGACAAAGCAGTACAGCACTCGCATCGCTACAGATTTCACACCAATCTACCACTCTTTTTTTTCACGATTCATGAACAAGACCTCTTGGGATAGAACCTTATGCCCAACCTGGAGGAAGCACTCTTATACATTGCATTATAAAGGCACTGCTTTGTAATGTGGATGACTCGTTGGGACTGCAACAGAATGAATTCGGCTCTTGAGCAAAAAACCCTGAATGAAAATGTCCGGCTACCACTTTGTGACGTTAACCTCAAGTGCACTTGTTTTATGCTGCAGGGGCAATAATGCAACAGACACCAGCAAGTCCATCACTGAATGGCTCAAAAAAAACCCATCACATTTACCTTAGCATTTTCGCCTAAAATCAGTTCCAGGTGTGGTGGTGTGACCATAAACAAGATTTATGTACTTGAAAACCTTCTAATACGAATTAAAACAGTGATGTAAATGCGTCATCGCCAGCATTTTTGCTACCAATGGTGGTGCAAACAGTTATCAGGTTTAGGTTCCCATTGCTGTTTCATGCAGGGTCAGATTCCCTGAGAAATTAAATAATTTCTTGAAAACCACTTGTTGTATTTGCTCAGGGAGTAATTGTCAGATGTTAAAATTTGTTTGAGATCTGAAACATTTTAACGTGACAAAATTAAGTTAAAAAAAAAACAAAAAAAAAACGAAGAAATCTGAAAGAGGGTAATTATTTTTTCATAGTACTGTAAGTATTGTCGCATACTGACCTGAATAATAATCAATCCTCACATGTTTGTTCCTCACTCACTTATCCACTACTTTAATGTTTTAACACCAGCACCTTAAGTAGGGAAAAAGTCCCCAAGAGCTTTTAGGGAGGCGGCCAGCTTTACCTCTAGATCAAAGCCAAAGGTCCGCCCGCTTTCAGTCTCATGTACAAAGTCCTGAAAAGTCTTTTCCCCCTCAGTAGATGGTCTTCAGAAGCCACTTTGGGAAAAAAAAAAAAAAAAAAAAAAAAAACGGCACCACCTCCCCCCCCACGTGTTTCACAAGATCTTCTGACTTTATGATTTTTCTATGATGAATCCTGTCTTTTCTCTGCCAATAGAGTACAGAAAGAAAAGTTCTCTCTTCTTCTCTCTCCTCTCTCTTTCCTGTAGTACCTTTATTTACGTACCCTGTTGAGTCTAATTTGATTCTTCTTCCAAAGCCCCCCAACCTCTATCTACTCGTACTAATGCTTCTTCTTTCCAATCTTATTTGCATTCATATTATCCACCCAGGTGGTACGCCAATAAGAGGTAAGAGTGCTGAACTGACGTTCAAAGAATGAAAATAATACAAATTCATTCTTGCTGTCAAGCCATCCGTACGCTCCCATTTTTGTCCTGTTTACAAAGATCGAATACCATTTCATTCACATGGACCCATCCTCCTTATTTGTCCTGGTTTTGGTTGACTAAAATTGTATTTCATCATCGTGTCTATGCCTTATTTACTCCTTTGTGTTTTGGTTTTTTTTGTTTTGTTGTTTTTTTCTTGTTCTTTTAGCTCAGTTGTGATATGCTTGCCCTGGCTCTAATAAGCATATACAATGACAATTCTGTTTTTATTTTTTTTCCTCCAAAACTATATTTTAATGCTCATTTTTGTTTTTGTTTTTTTGTTGTTTTTTTTCCTTTTTGGCCATAGCCAATCATGTGTCCCTCTTTTTTGTCCAACTAAAACAACCAAGCATTTTTCCCCCCTTAGCTGTTTCTTGTTCAGCACAAAAAAACCCCCGACATGCACAGATGCTGTGGAAGACCTAACACCACCTCTCCCAAAGACTTCTTTCTATCTTTGCAAACTATTTTTTTCCCATTTCTTCTGTTTGCTTTCCTCTCCTGTACCTCTACAAAAAAGCCCAAACAACCACTTTTTTGATAAAGTTTCTACGGTGCTTTTTTCCCACCTTCCTCTTTCACCTATTTTTCTTACTTTTCTTGGTTTTTTTTTTTTTTTTTTAATCTTTTTTGACTTTTTAATTTTTTTTTCTTCAGGGTTTGGGGAAAAGGCAAACTGTAGAGTCTGGCGAGGACCTGATTGGCTCATTTTTGCCGTGTGACATGGAGCGGGAGAGTTGTTGATGCATAAAGCCATTTTTCTTTGAGTCATGTGACACCACACTGCTGATCCCATTGGTGGATTTTTATGGGTGTCTTTTTGTGGCTAAAGCAGTGGATGGTTATACTTTCTTGTTGGCTCAGGCTGCATTTTGAATTTTGTCTTCTAATACAATTGCATTTTATTTTTCAGCTAAGGGTTGTCAGAAGGTTGTAAGTTGTGTCGACATACATTTCTTGCTAAGATTTGCATGTCAAACCTTTTGTTAGAGGGTTATATGTTGGTTCTGCCTGAATTAACGATTCAATAAACATTTTTTTTCCAGCTAATCTGAGCAGCACCAAATTTTTGCACATGCTGCTGATTTTTTTTTTTTTTTTTTTTTTTTTTTTTTACTTTTTCCAAAGAAACTTCACCCAGGTGAAGTCCAAATTACCCCATAGGCTGAATATTACAACTGATCTGTGATTGAATATGCTAAAAAAAAAAGAATCATACCTAAATTTTCTTTTTGTTTTGTTTTTCAAATTGTCCTCCCTTGTTGCGCTGCTTTCTTATACTGTAAACCTCTTTTGTTTGATCCATGTTTCCCTGAAGCAGTATCACTCATCCCCATACTGACCAGTCCAGTGACATGTTGTATATTGATGGGTTGCCCCTCTTATTCAAAGTAAAAATCGGCCGTTTGTATTTTTTGTTGTCTTTGGCGCTAGGCATGGGTCGGTATGAGGCTCTCATGGTGTCAGAACCTTGAGTTAAATGCCAAGGTTTCTTGTTATCAAGGTATTTAGATAGAAACACAAAGCAAAAAATGCAGAAGTTATTCTTACTACTGCAAAAATAATAATTGTATATCCAGATTTAAGTAAAAGTACACAATTAATATATTAACAGCACTTAACATAAGCAGAATAAGCCGGCAAATTAGTCGGTTTTAGCGCACCAAATGTAGCTTCAAAACAGTTTCTTTTTTTTTTTTTTCTTTAAATGTTTTGCATACAGTCGAAATCAGATATTTACATTCACTGGATAGCAACACACAACCATCTGTCTCATTGACTGGCATTAAATCATACAATTTTTCAGTGTCAAAGGCCAGTTAGATGTGCCAAAAGTATTTCAGTTTGCTAAATGCCAGAAATGTAAGTCAGACTTTTGCAGCTTGCTCTTTTCTCCCGTTGTTTCCAGTTGTACAGAATTCATGGCATCGATCCTCCATCTTTACTTGGCCCTGTCACTAGTGATCTCTGGGGCTAGGTCTACCATTTTCAGACATAGGCCAGCTTCTCTGCTCTTACATACACTAATATTCCCTTTTAAACAATTTGGGAAAGTCCAGATAGGAATGTCTTGGCTTATTTTAAGGCAACATCACTGCTTCCCTGTGTGGAAAAATCTCAAGAAATTGTGGACATCCACTTCTCTGGTTCATCCTTTAATGCAATTTGCAGATGCCAGAAGGTGCAACAATCGTCCGTTCACGTGAATATGTGCACTACAAGAATGTGCAGCCATCACAACATTCAGGAAGAAGATGGGTTCTGTGTCCCAGAGATGATTGTATATTTGGTAGTGAAGGTGGGCTAAAAAGAAACAAGAAAAAAACCCTCTTCCTACTGGGCTTGAAAGACCATTCAGAGAGAAAGAAGCTATTAGTAGAAACGCAACAAAAAAGTATTCAAGCAAAAAAGTTCATTTCTGAAGACATTACATAAGGTCTAAGTTTTTGGCTATTAAGATGTCAGAAAAAGAAGAAGCTTGGCAAACTTGAGAACATCATCTCAACTGAAGTATGCTGGCAGCAGCATCATGTTGTGGTGTGATTGTACACCAAGAGGAACTAATGATCCTCACAACATATATGACATAAGAACATACAATTTTGTCAAAGTATTGAAGCAATATCTCAAGATATCAGTCAGTAAATTAAAGCTTGGACCCAAAGCATACCACCGAATGAGGTACAAAGTTGCAAAAGGCCAAGACACAGGAATAGTTTGGATGAAAGAGGAATGTATTGTAGTCTTCTTTTAGCCAGCTGGCTCCCAGTGTGCAGCAAAATCTGCTTTTACACTGTAACCTAAAAAAAAAAAAAAAAATTTAAATTGTATACCTTGACACCAGAAACCAACCCATGCCTAATTGGCACTGAGATGAGCGTGTGCGTTTTTTTAACACAATCTGCCATTTTTTTACTCAGAAAAAAAAAAATCAAAATGATAGGGTATACCTTGTTTTTATGAGTTACTTTCTTTTCCGTTTTTTATTTTTTTTTTTACTCTTTTGTTGGTTTGCTACTTTAGCTCTGATAACAGAAATAAACAATCTTAGCTGTATTACAATGTTTTGCATGATTGTAATTTGCAGCTGTCCACATGCATAGAAGTCCCCATTTTACTTGAGACGCATAATAACAACTAGCAGATAAAGTCTAAAACTTAATGTCTCTGAAGCAAGTTAACCTCAGACATGAAAGGAGAATGCAGAAGACAAGTCATTTTGTTTGTGAACCGAGTTGACCACATTGCCTTTTGTTACCCTCGTTTGTTATTCCAACTAGGAGCCCTGCAGATAGAGCAAAGCGAGGAACCGGACCAGGGAAAGTACGAATGCGTGGCGACGAACAACGACGGGACTCGCTATTCTGCCCCGGCTAATCTTTACGTCAGAGGTAGGAAACGGCCTCCCTGTTTTGTTTTCGCCAAACATTAGTATCACACTGCCTTTAAAACCTGATAAGGAGCGATTAAATCGCCACATTGTCTGCAAGGGTCCGTGTGCTATGAGGTCACTGTAAGTATGCTCTATTACAGTTTATTTTCTGTTCCTTGCACTTGCCTTACCTGCACTGATTTGAACCTACAGTATTTGCTCTGTTATGTGTTTCCGGTCCGTTTCCGTTGATTAGCCCGAGTCTAACACCAGTGACGAGGCCGCTTGCAGCATGTATCTACTAATTGCTTTTAAAAAAGCTGACTGCTGGAGTTGGTGGAGGGAGTGAACGGACCTCGTTCATCAGCTCCAGCTGTGAAAAGATCCTTTTCTTTCCTCCTCCCTACTGATAAACACTAGGGCACCTGTAATCCCATTACTGAGGATGCAACTTGAAAGATTCAGGAAACGGCAATTAATTCTACTCTACGGGTATTTTTAAGTACAGTACTGTTCATCCAGCAGCCTAGACAGAGTTGTTAGGGTTTTTCCCCCCTAACTTATAATTTACTCTGGTTAAACAGCATTTAGTAATCCTTCGTTTTACCTCACTTTAGTTGAGCACAGTTAATTTAAGATATCATCAAATATATTTTAAAATGGCTAGCAGAAGAATGAATTTTCCTTTTTCCTTCAAGGAGCTTTCGGGTGATGGATCTCTTCACCTTTTAACCCAGTTCAAAGCCGTGTTTGCTTTCTCACTTCAAACGTTGTGGCCATTTGTGGTTTTTAAACCTGCTTTTATTGGGCCTTCTATCACCTCACGGATAGTGAAGACATACAAGGCTTTACTTCTGAGCTCTACATGTCTCAGGGGACAATAATGTTGCATTTATCCCCTTCGTGTAAGAAAAGACTTTTGGTCTTTTCGCACACACTATGAAATGTTTAGTATCGACCATGTATCAATTCCTACTCACCTTAGGGATGTTTTTGGGGTCTGTAAGAAAGAGGATTA